TATTTGTAAAAAAAAAAAAAAAAAAAAAAGATTGTCTCTCTCCATCTGCCCCTCTCCCCTGCTTGTGTGCTCTCTCCTAAATAAAAACAAAAAATAAAAACACAGTCTGATTAAAAATGGGCAGAGGACCTGAACAGATATTTTTCAAAGAAGACATACAGATGACAAATAGGCACCTGGAAACATGTTCAGCATTTGTAATCATTTTGGAAATGCAAATCAAAACCATAATGAGATGCTACCTCACACCAGTCAGATTGGCTTTTATCAAAAAGATAATAACAAGTGCTGGTAATGATGTGGAGGAAAGGGAATCCTCATGCACTTTTGGTGGGAATGAAAACTGGTACAGCTACTATGGAAAACTATGGAGACTCCTCAAAAATGTAAAAATAGAATTACTGTATGATCCATCAGTTCACTTCTAGGTATTTATCCATATAAAACAAAAATACCCATTCAAAGGGTATAATGCATCACCATTATTTACAAAAGCCAAGATATGGAAGCAACTTAAGTGCCTATCAACAGATGAGTGGATAAAGAAGTTGTTTACACACACACCCTCAGGAATATTACTCAGCCATAAAAAAGAATGAGATCTTGCTCTCTGTGGCAAGATCTAGAGGGTATTATGCCAAGTGAAGTAAGTTAGAGAAAGACAAATACTGTAAAATTCACCTATATGTGAAATCTAATAAACACAACAAAATGGAAACAAGCTCACAGATACAGGATACTGTTGGTCACCAGAGTAGGGAGGAGTTGAGGAGTAAGGCCAATAGGAGAAGGGGATTAAGAAGTACAAGTTTCTAATTATAAATAATTCATGAGGATACAATGTATAGCAGAAGGAAACACTATGCTGTATACTAGAAACTAATGGGATATGGTATGTCAATTATACTTCAATTTAAAAAGAAAATTACAAAAGATTAAGAATACTGTATGTTGATGAAAGGTTCACTGTGAAGACAGGATATAACAGTTATTAATATATACATACCTAACAGTACAGTCCCAAAATATATGAAGTAAAAACAGGCAGAATTGAAAAGAAAAATAGTTCTGCAATAATGGGTGTAGACTTCAATAACCAATTTTCCACAATGGATAGAGCAGCCAGACAGAAGATCAAAGGCAGTATACAACTTGAACTGCACTAATACACACATTAATACATACACACACACCATACTACTCAACAACAGAAAAATATATATTCCACTTAATTGTATCTGAAATGTTTTCCAAGATAGATTATATATTAGGCCACAAAGTAAGTCTTAATGAATTTGAAATTATTTAAATCATACAAAGCAACTTCTGATCATAGTGGAGTGAAACTAGAAATGAAGAGCAGAAAGAACTCTGGAAAACCACAAATATGTGGAAATTGAGTAGCACACTCAAACCTTTGTATCAAAGAAGAAAAATCATAAGAGAAAATAACTGAGACAGTGGAAGTGAAAACTTGACATACTGAAACTTTTTAAAAAATTTTAGCATTTATTCATTTTGGAGGGGAGGGGAAGGAGCAGAGAGAGAGGGAAACACAGAATCTGAAGCAGGCTCTAGACTCTGAGCTGTCAGCACAGAACCTGATGCGAGGCTCGAACTCACTGACTGTGAGATCATGACCTGAGCTGACATCAGACGCTTAACCTACTGAGCCACCCAGGCGCCCCTTGACATACTAAAACTTACGGAATACAGAAAAAGCAATGCATAGAGGAAATTTTCTAGCTGTGGATGCATTATGTAAAAAGTAGATCTCAAATCAGCAACCTAATTACACAATTTAAGAGCAAACAAAA